CTCCCATGAACGATGACTTACACACAGTAAATAATGCAGAAGAGAAGCCAGTCATTCCCCAAGAAGACCGGCCTCCAGGTGCCGAGATCCAGCAAGGTGATGCTTGTGTCGAGAAAAGTGTCTCTGAAGGAAAAGCGGAAATTCTCCAGTTCACGCCAGAAAACAGTGACACCACACTGTCAGTCATACCTTGTAAAAGTATGGCAGGCTGTGGAGAAACCACCGATTTTGTGCAGGCTCAGCTCCCTGTGAGTGGAGTGAGAAACACCTCCGATAACACTTTAAATGTGGGGTACTCACAGTTAGAAAGCAGCGGAGAGAAAGAAAACACTGAGAAACAGCCACACAGAGAACGCGCCTCATCTCCAAGACCCCAAGAGAGAGAAGATCATACGCCCGAGTCTGTAGAAGACGGGAAGAGTATCTTGAACCACAGTTTAGACCAAGTTCATCTGAATTTCCAAAACATGAGAGATCCTTCAGCTGGCACGGGGACTAAAATTTCAATTCAGAACTTAATTGAAAGAGCTATCTTTTCTCAGTTGCCAAATGAAGTATTACATGTGCCCAGTCCTGGCATTTCCCCCATTAATAACGCCTCAGAAGTACAGGCAGAGAGCAGAGGTGATCCTCTCTGTATTACAAGGCTTCTTGCTATATTGAAGCAAAACCAGCATCCCCAAGAAACCCCAGGCACATCTGAGTTAATTAACATACTAACTCAGATAGATTGTGATCCAGAGGGAAGAGGCATTGGATCTGGACTATTTCCACCACAACTTAAAAATGCCTTTTACAAGCTGCTGGTTGATGGGTACTCATCTGCAACAGAACAGGCCGATGCTTTGAAGGAAACACCGTGTGTTGCTCCCGAGATGGCGGAAGAAAAGCCATGTGTCTGCAGTGACCTCAAAGGCAAAGAAGGGAATCACTGTCCCCTGAACCCACAAACTGTAAGGGAAGCAGGGGTAGAGCACTCCAGTGTGCACATAGCAGCATTGCCAGGAGATGAGAAGCTTGGAGACCTGTGCAGCGACCCTCCAGAGCATTCAGAATGTACATCTGGATCAAAAGAAAGGTCTTCTGATGGTAGCTCAAAGGAAAAAGTGAGTTGACATACGTAACCACGTAACCCATGACCATTCCAGCGGGAAACGTGGGGGCAATCTCATATGTTTTGTCTGCTTTAAATTTCTTTCAGAAAGGCTATTAATTACTGTATCCAATTTTGTCTTTAGTGTTCCGATGGCTTGCAACAGTGTTTACAGCATACTGAGAAAATGCATGAATATTTGGCTTTGCTTCAAGATATGAAACCCCCCTTAGACAACCAGGCATCTGTGGAGAACAGTCTAGAAGCCTTGAAAAATCAGCTGAGGCAGTTAGAGGTAAGAGTTATCTGCTGACGTGCCTGTCAGCTTTCCATCCGCAATCAAGTTAAGCAGAGAGTTCATTTGGGCATATGCCTTCAGAGGCTGTAACCTGTGATCCCTTGGTCCTGTTGCATCTGGTTTTTTGGCAAGGCCATTCCTTACCTCAAACTGAAAGACAGAAGAAAAAAGGCCAGAGTGCCTCTGGCACCTTTGACAGTCGACAACTCCAGTAATCTGAAGTCTTCCTACTAAATCCTAGTCTTAAAGTTTTATTTCTCCCCTGTAGCACCAAGCTGAGGTCCAAAGCACAGGCCTTGGGAGACATCCAGGTCCAGGCCACAGTAGTCAGTGGTTCATGAAGGGTGCCACTTAATACAGAATTTGCAAAAAGCAGAATGCCCTTCTCTCCTACTCGTCATGTTTGGGTTTATGCTTTTTTACTCATGGTAACTAGATGCGGATTGTATTTCTTTGCAGACATTTGAGTTGGGATTGGCTCCAATGGCTGTGTTTTTAAGGAAAGATCTAAAGCTGGCAGAAGAATTCTTAAAGTCTTTCCCTAGTGACCTTCCCAGAAGACATCATGAGGAACTGAGCCAGAGCCACAAACGTTTACAGAATGCCTTCTCGTCCCTCAGCAGTGTCTCCTCAGAAAGGATGAAACTGATCACACTTGCAATCGAGTCTGAAATGGTAGGCATAAAACGGTGAATTTTCAGTAAAATGTGATGGAGAATGTAAACTATACTATCACGTATTTTTTTTTTTTAAGTATTATAACTTAACTCTCCAATCAGAATCACGGTAGGACTTTGAAATTTGGAGGACAAACAAATGAATGCGTAATTTTGCTTTCTAGTCTAAGCTGGCGGTTCGTCATGAAGACTTCCTACACAAACTTACATCCTATTCAGATTGGGTGTCAGAGAAAAGCAAATCTGTGAAGGACATACAAACTGCGAACATCCAAGATACTGAACTTGTAAAGAACAGTGTGAAGTTTCTTAAGGCAAGTATCAAAACACACACTTAGTGTAAGAGGTGTTCAGGACAAATACAACCTTCCCGATACTGTAAGGAATTATTTCCTGCCTTGGATCGAAGAAATGTCATTTCATAGTCAACCTAACACTAGAATTTATTCCATCCACCATACCAAATTCTCACTACCTGTGACATACTGACATTTGTATTCATGTCTTTTACAAATGAATTATATAAGCCCAAGATAGCTACAGATTAGTCAAAGTATAGCAGCCCAAGTTGTGCTTGTATGGTAATACATTTTGATCTGAAAATTTTTTATGGACTCTTAATTTGAACAGCATTCCTGTGAGCCCTGATCTCCTTGCTTCAGTCAGAAAACTAAAACTGTAGCCTGTTAGTTCATGTTTTGTGTTCCTTCTTTTCTTATTGTGAGTTTCCACAATTGAAGGGATATTGGAAATATTAGCAGTTATTTTGTGATGTTAATGTCACTTTCATTATGATGAATCAAGCTGTTTTGGATATTTTTGGTTTGGGCATTATAAGTATGATCTACCAGGCGAGGAGAGAATGCCCTGGGGGTTATTTCTCTTTGCATGTTACCTCCCATCATATTTAAATACTTTATTATTGGGATGAAGAGATGGCTTAGTAGATAAAGTGCTTGCCACACTTTCTATGCAAGTGTGAGGATCTGAGTTTAAGTCCCTGGACTCTGTGTAAAGTTGGGTTGGGTAACACATATCTGTAGTACTAATGCTTCTGTGGGGAAATCGGGGTGGAGACAGAAGTTACTAGTTACCCTGGTAACTTGGAGGCAACCAGATGGTGTGGAGGAAGCAGTGGACAATGAAAAACAAGGCCCAGTCTCAAACTAGGCAGAAGGCAAGAAATAACACCTGAGGTGGTCCTCCAATCTCCACACTGGTGCCTTGGCATACACATGCACATACACACGTACACGGGCACACACATCATACACATATGTCACACACACAGAGAATTTGAAAATCACTTTAATTACCTACTACCAGATGATGAATAAGTAGATTTGTTTTATGAATACTGAAAAGGTATCGTTAACCCTTTAAGTAATGATAGAAGGATCATATTTAAGGAGTGAGTTTAGTTCAGTATAGTCAGTGCTGGTGAACTTCATCCTAACCTACCTCTCCTGGCAACCTGTACTGCTTTCTTCACAGAATGTGCTATCAGACCTTTCACATACCAAAATGCAGCTGGAAACGATGGCCTTTGACGTACAGTCCTTCATCTCTGATTATGCCCAAGATCTGTCTCCCAACCAAAGCAGACAACTGCTGAGACTCTTAAATACAACCCAGAAGTGTTTTCTTGACCTGCAAGAGCTGGTAACCACTGAAGCGGACCGGTTAGAGGCTCTCTTGCAGTTTGAGCAGGAGCTTGGTCATCAGAAGGTTTGCCTCTCTTGTGGAGTTATGCTCACTGTTTTACTTGATCAGTGTGAAATCATAGCTTAGGTAACCAGAATACTGACCAGCTAGGGAGGTGCTCTGGACAGACCTGAGTGGGTACTGACCAGAATCCTTGCCATCCATCACTGCAGACTTTCACCCTGATGTTGTCGTGTAGTTGGGTTTTTTTCACTGTCCTCTTAACAGTATTTTACGAGGTGAGAGTCTTCATCTTCTCCCTGAAAATGAGAACCAGAAAGCATTCAGGAGTGTCCAAGGGTAACTGATGAAGGTTTAGCTCTGAACTTTCAGGGAACTATTCCCTCCAGTGGGGCACAGGGCTCAGAGCTTGTGCTCCAGCGTTTGCATTGGAGAGCTGACTTGCCTAAATTTGTGTCCTGAATGTTCCACTCTATCAACTTTGTGTGACTTTGAAAAGTTGCGTGCCCTCACTTTGCTCGTTGATAAATTGGGAATAGTTGATAACTTAGGAATAGTAATGTTTATCTGGTAATATTGTGAACACTGATAAAATGATTCATATGAAACCCTTAGCTCTGTGCCTGATCTCCGCTGAACTTTTAGTGAACCGTAGTTGTGTTTACTGTTGCTGTTAGTTAGGCAATAAGTATGTATAGAATCGGAAAATAAAAATGCAGATTTTGACTTATTAATTTGTTAGATTTAGTGGATTCTGTTACAGTACTGTCTAATGGCAGCAATGAGCGAAGAACATAATGTTGAAATAAAAATAATGCATGCTGTGTTTCTTTTATTCTTGAAGCACCCAGGCACTGTGTGTAGCATGATAACCTATATAAATATATACATATCCATATGTTTACTGACAAATCACAACTAACTTCTCTTTTGGTGTCCTTTTGCAGAATTAATTATGTGTGTCGCAGGTTTCAAGAGCTTAAGAACACGGGATGTTTCTTCCTGTCAATCAGAAGTTCCATCTCTTACACATGTGCATGGCCAGTATTCTACTGTGCATCTTCACACAAACAGGCTCTTTCTGTGTACACGGGACATGCTCATACTGTTCTGTCTGTCTGTCCTTGTTCAGTTTGTACTCCAATGCTACCATGTTTACAGCATACGTAACAAGCTTAATGCAGGGTGTTTAGAAAATGTATTCTGATAAGAGGCTTGATCAGAAGTGGATTGAAGGTTGAAACACTTTGGGTTTTCTCCGTCTTAGGTTGTGGCAGAGCGTCAACAAGAGTACAAAGAGAAACTCCAAGGGCTGTGTGATCTCCTCACCCAGACTGAAAACCGTCTAATTAGTCACCAGGAAGCCTTTGTGATTGGAGATGGCACAGTGGAGTTAAAAAAGTACCAGTCCAAGCAAGAGGTAGACCTTTTGGTATCTACAGCTGTATATCCGGTTGGGTTTGGTTCCGTTTTCTGTAAGGCCGATGGGATTGTTGAAAACACAGAGGTGTCAGAAGTAAGATGTGCCCAGAGGCTCTGGGAAATAGATTTAAACTTTATATCTAAATCTAGATTTACAGCTTAAAATCGTCAGGTAATTCCTTGACTTTTTTGGTGACATATTGTATCAAGAATATAAATGATAGGTTACAATGTAACTCTTTTTTTGGATAGGTTACAATGTAATCCTTTTTTGGGCAGCTAACTCACCTGCAAATCAGGAGAAATAGACTTCACTTTGATTTCTTTCCCAGTACCACCTCCCTTTCTGTTTCTCTGGTATTTGCTGTAATTCATTCTTTTTTATCTAAGCAAAATAGGTGAAAGAAGAAAAATGCTGGAGAGGGAAACCTGTGTTTTGGTGTCAGGAGAACGAGAGCCTCATTATCTGTAACTCTTGATTCAATTCAGTACTAGTCAGGACTCGGTTCCCTTCGGTAAATACGAAGTGTACTTCTGTTCCTACATTGTGATGAAAGCTGAGTAAATATGCATCAAGTTACTGCTGCAGTTAATGTCACTTAGTAATTATGAAATATACAGGCAAGTAAACACGCAAGCCTTTGAGGACGCTCAGAGAAAGGCATTATAAAGATGTGTTGGTATGTTATAAAGGATGATAATGTAGAAAATGGATTTCCCTTGTTCTTAGGAGGAAAGATCACAGAGGGAAATTTATACTTCCCAGAAAAGCTAGAACTCCTGAGCAATCTTAGTCTTGAGTATCCTAGTAGCCAGGGCTAAGATGCAAACACTATATTTTATGTAACATGATGTTTTTTTGTTTTTGTTTTTTTTAAATCTCAGTTCACTGATGGGAACTATTTTCTTTCCTGAGTAATAGATATGAATTTAAAAATCAGAGTTCTGTTGGGTATGGGGATCGTGTACGCCTGAAAGCATAGCACTTGGGAAGCCAAGGTAGAGGCGGACTGTGTCTCTGCCCACCCGGACCACATAGTGAGACACAGTCTCGGAGAATATGTATCAGTGTTTAGAAAGAGAGTAAATATCACCACAAATTTCTGTGGTAAATGTGCTAACACTCATACAGATTTCTGTAGTTCATATACTGAGTGCCTCGATGTTTTCAGTGCTTTACAAATATTGTTTTCTTAAGCGTAAAAAGCTCATACCTTTTTAACACTGAGTTCAAATTATATGAAATTAATGTGCAGTTGAAGCAACTCACACTACCGCCATAGTCTATATGCTTTTCAGCTGTGTTTGCCCATCTCTGCCTGCGGTAGCTCTCTTTTAGAATTACAGCTTTGCAAGAATTGAAATGATACAACAGTTCCTTTTTTTCCCCACGTGTGTTTAAAGGAATTACAGAGAGAGATGCAAGGAAGTACACAGGCACTGGCAGAAATAGTGAGAAACACAGAAATCTTTTTAAAAGAAAGCGGTGATGAGTTGTCCCAAGAAGACAAAGCTTTGATTGAGCAGAAACTCAACGAGGCGAAGGTGAAGTGTGAGCAGCTGCGTCTAAAGGCAGAGCAGTCGAGAAAGGAGCTGGATAAAGCAGTGACTACGGCCCTCAAGGAGGAGACTGAAAAGGTGCCTGTCTGAGTGTACGGTACACGGTAGCTCCCCCTGGTGGTGAGCGCGTCAGCTGCATGCTTTTCTTGTGTGTGTATCAGGTGATCGTGAGCCACGGTTTGCACCAAGAATGAAAATACGGGGGACTCTGGGTACATAATTGCCCATACAAAGATGGAAAGAATTGGCTTTACTTAGTCTTTCCATAAGTAGAAGCTGGGTGAGAGATTCTGGATGTGAGAAATGTGTTGCACGTACAGTCCACTATAGGTAAAATTTCAAAATACGTGGTTTGAAGGCAGTGTAGACCTTGAGTAACTGCTTGTTGCTGTAAGGTTTAATTCCCATATGTTTCTACTATGTGTTAGTTATTATAATTTAGGAATATATAAATTCCTAAATTATATATATATATGTATATATATATATACATATATATATATCCCTATATCCCTAAATATATAATATATGATTAAATATAATTATATATACAATATAATATAATGTATAATTTTATTTATTTAGATAGATTGGTTGTTTGAATGACTGATTGATAGCTAGTGTGTGTTAAGCCTAGGCTGCATCTATAATACTTATGAACCTTCTCTACCCAGGTTGCAGCTGTGAGGCAGCTGGAAGAGAGCAAAACTAAAATAGAAAATCTTTTGAACTGGTTGTCAAATGTTGAGAAAGACTCAGAAGGGGCAGGGATGAAGCACACACGACCCATGGAGCAGAATGGAACCCATTTGCATGAAGGTGATGGCAAGTCAGGAGGCGGTGAAGAGGATGAAGTCAACGGTAACCTGCTGGAGACGGATGCTGAAGGGCACAGTGGGACCCCCGAGGGGAATCTGAACCAGCAGTACGAGAAAGTCAAGGTGAGCTGTTTAAACGGTGATGCCATCAGATTCTGTGTGGAGAGATGGAGAGTCAGACCGCTTTATACAAGCCAGCCTTTGTGACCACAGAGAGTAAAGACTTTCCCTACCTCAGTGTTATGCCAAATATAAATTCCTGAGAAAGTCCTTGGCAAATAAAAACAGTAAGAAGTAAATCATTAGGTACAGCTTCTGTGCAAAGCTGAAACCCTGCTTTAGAAACGAAAGAGGGCTGAAGAGCTGGCTCAGTGGTTAAGAAAGCTTGCTGCTCTTGAGGAGGGTCCAAGTGCAGTTCATCAGGCAGCTCACGGCTGCCCGTAACTCCAGCTGGCCTCCGAAGTCTTCCAGAACAGACGTATATGCATAAATTAAAAAAAGGAAGGAAGGAAGGAGGGAAGGAGGGAGGCTGACCTCTCCAGAGCAGGGGCGATGGCCCCACCTGCCTCCTCAGTTTCTCAGTCTTCCTAGCTACTTTCTGAGGTTTTGTGTTCCCATCGTATACGACATTTTGCAACTTACATACCCAACATAGCTTGCCCAGTTTCCGCGTGTGGTAAAGCTAGAGTGTGGCTTCGTCTTCAGCCATCGTTTCTGTCACTCTGCAGATCGATACTGCATGTCCACAGACTGGCTTTCTGTGCAGCCTTGAGCTCGAAGCTGTGCCTGGGGCGGGGGGCGGGGGGCGGGGGAGTAGGCTGCTGTGGAGAATGACAGTCCAGTGAACGGTAGCAGTGGAGGCTGTCCTTCATGCGCCTGCAGGAGCAAAGGCAGTGTTTGCAGTAACCATTTTAAAGTGTCCCAGAGTTGATGGTGTTTGTCTCTGTGCCTGGCTCTTGGTGCTTGGTGGCTGTCCGTGAAAGGCTTCCGCTGACTCCCTACAGTGAGGCCATCAGTGGCTTGCTCTGTGTGCCTCTGACCTGTCGGCCTCACTACTTCCTGAGAGCCCTCTCTGCTTTCCTACCTCTGTAGACTCAAACCTCTGCAAGGAATTCTTTGCATGTGAGCCGAGATGATCCTTAAAGCAAATCTGTGACACAGTTGACGTCACCACCTCCGTGGTCACTATAAACCTGAAACCCAGTGGGGCCAGATGTCTCCACCACTCTCCATCATGTCTGTTCCTTTAGCTCTGCTGGAGTTCTCTAATACTGTTCTTGTTTTGATCTTGTTCAGCTGTCTTTGAGCTAACCAACGGGAGTTATGTATATGGTGGTTTGAAAAGGGCATTGAGAAGCAGGTTGAGTCCTAGAAGCCTGCTCCCCGCACCCCCAGGCACAGTTGCTGGTTCCCAGAAGCTCTAAAGTTTTGAATGACTTTTTTCCACACAGGCCCAGCATGAAAAGATCATGGCTCAGCACCAGGCCGTCATCTTAGCCACGCAGTCGGCCCAGATGCTGCTTGAGAAACAGGGCCACTATCTGTCGCCCGAAGAGAAGGAGAAGCTGCAGACGAACATGCAGGAGCTGAAGGCACATTACGAGACTGTGCTGGCCGAGTGTGAGAAGAAGGTGAAGCTGACGCACTCCCTGCAGGAGGAGCTGGAGAAGTTTGACGCTGACTGGAATGAGTTTGAGCATTGGCTACAGCAGTCAGAGCAAGAGCTGGAGAACCTGGAGGCGGGTGCGGACGACCTCAGTGGGCTAACGGACAAGCTGACGAGGCAGAAGAGCTTCTCAGAGGACGTCATTTCGCACAAAGGTGACCTGAGGTACATCACCATTTCTGGAAACAGAGTGATCGAAGCTGCCAAATCTTGCAGCAAGAGGGACAGTGACACGATTGGCAAGGACAGCATCGAGACTTCCGCAACCCACAGAGAGGTTCAGACCAAACTGGATCAGGCTACAGACCGCTTCCGATCTCTCTACTCTAAGGTACATTTATTTTACTTTTATTTCTTAAATGGAGGTCAGTCTGAGATAAACTTTTCTACATGTCCACTTCACTTTTTCGTTGGATTTAGAAGCAAAAAAAATAATAATAGAAAACATGAATATTGGCATGGGAAAGTGGTAGTTTTAGTCATGTTTTTTATATCTGGAAAATGTCTCTTAAACGGTTAGTAACCTGAAGTGAGTTTCTCAAATTCTGTAGTACCAGATTTTACCACCAGATGTTGCTCGTGAACTAAGCAGAAGGCGAGAGCTCAATTTCTGGTCATTGCCATTCACATAGGATAACTTCCTTCACGTATTACAGGACTGTTCTACAGGTGTATTTGATCAATATATTTTCATTATTAATGACTAATATTCTGTGTTGCTTCCTTTACTGCCTTGAAAAATTAAGAGTCTTGCTAAAAAACAAAACTGTAAGCCACGTGTCGAGGTGCATACTCCAAAAGCTAAGGGAGAAGGATTGTAAATTTGGGTCAGCCTGAGCTACATAGCAAAATCCTTTCTCAAAGTGGGGAGGGAGAAGACCCAGGAACATATATCTTCCTGATTGTAACAGAGGCTGATCAGATGTACCCATTGCATAGATGATTTGGCAAACACCTCTGAGGCTTAGGTGTTGTTTTGGGTTGGTGTAAGTTATTTGACCTAATTATGTCAATCCTGTACAACGTGTAGAAATGGCTTATAGAGTACCTGAAGAAATTTTCATCACATGTCTGTGTGTATTGTCTGGTTTGCCTAGTCTGGTGACTGATTCTCATTTAAGGCCAGCCAGCAATAATGTTATTTAATAATTTTAAGTCTAGAACTGTCTCCTTGTTTTCATGGTCACCTTTTGACTTCTCCGCGTGAAGAGGAAGAACCTTGACATTGGTTGAAGTCTGGTTTTTACCCCAAGTTACCCAGCTCATCCATCTTTAGATCTTGTCATGCATGAGAAGACAGTGGGCCTCAGCTTCTCTCTCCTTCTCTTCTTTGATTTTTAGTGCAGTATTCTTGGAAATAACCTCAAAGATCTGGTGGATAAATACCAACACTATGAAGATGCTTCCTGTGGACTTCTCTCCGGGCTCCAGGCCTGCGAGGCCAAAGCCAGCAAACATTTACTCGAGCCTATTGCTTTGGACCCCAAAAATCTGCAAAGGCAGTTAGAAGAGACCAAGGTAAAGAAGGAGGAGGGAGGGGAAGAGAAGCAATTCCCTCAGCCACCCTATCAAAAGAATCCCGTTCTTCGCACTCATGTGATAGCTTTGCTCTGGGCCCAGGAGACCTGTGGAGAGTATTCTGTCACACCAGAGGGTTCCAATGCGATTAAATGCTCCGGAACGTTTCTCCCACTGTTATTTAACTGGATTAACATTGCCATTATTGGCTCCAGTCCACTGAACCCGCCTCCTACCTCCAACAAAGCCCCGCCCACTTACTTACTGTTATACTTGTTAACTTTCCTCACATTTCCATTAGAACTAAGTTCCATGAAGGCGGGCGTTTGTGTCTGTCTTGTTCGGTGCTGTATTTCCCGGCATCTAGAACAGCAGTTCTCTCAGCCTGTGGATGGCAAACTCCTCTGAGGTTCCGAACAACCCCTATCATAGGTGTCGCCTAAGACTATCTGCATGTTAGATATTTACATTATGATTCACAACAGAAGCAAATTACAGTTATGAATTAGCAATGAAAATAATTGGTGGTTGTTGGGGCGAGGGGGTCACCACAACGTGAGGAACTGTATTAAAGGGTCACAGCATTAGGAAGGTTGAGAACACTGATCTAGAGGGTCACCTGGCCCAAAGTGCACAGTGTGTATCTGTAGGAACCACTCGCCAGGGCCTTCTTACCCTTGGTTGTATTATCAGTGTGAGTCACCTATCATACTAACTCGCGTTCCTTTCACCCACTCTTTCAGCTTTGGGTATAGAATTCTTCTGGGCTGTTTTTACTTCTTTGGCCACATTTATTCTGTCTCCCCATCAGAACACCATGAACGTCTTCCATGCCTTCTGCTTTTCCTCTTCTGGTGCTGCTGCACTGCCTGCTGTGGCGCTTCCTCCTCCTCTGCCATGCTCTCGACATGGCTCCATTCTTATAGTCCCGTGTGTTGCCAGCTTGCCTGTTTCTTCCTGTATACTGTTCTGGAGTCACAGACTCCAAAACAAAGGTCTTCTCCACTCTGAAATGTGATCTCACCTAAGTTTATAAACTTCGGTAGTTACCTGAGCTCAGCAGAACCCAGCCTGTTTCTCTGCTCTTGTACCCTCACTGCCTGTGTCCCTGTCCTCTGTGACAACTGGCCGTTCTTTCATGGGCTCCATCCACCAGCATAGCAATAGTCACTAATACAGCTGGAAAGTTAGTTTTGCTTCATTTGATTTTCCTGTAAAATACAGTTGTAGTAAGTCATCCTGTGTTAGATATTATGGCTTTAGACAATACGACCAAGCCCTCCTGACTCTTCCCAGCCCTGAACTGCACTGTACATTGTGGTCCAGGCAATTGGAGTACAAGAGATGGCCTCAGTCCTTGGTAAAGTCCCAGCTACTTTGTTCCAAATTAAGTTACGCTCAGTTGGGCACTGCTTCTCAGATCATTTCTTCTGGTTTTCCCTGCATGGCTATATGCCCTTACTTAGCTTTCTTCAAAGCCTTCCAGTAAGTCCCCATTGCTACCAGACACAATGTCAAGCCCTAAGCGTAACATTCGAGGCCTTAGCAGCCCTATGTATTCATTCTCATATTCTCTCTCTCTCTCCCTCTTCCCCTCCCCTTCCCTCTTTCCCCTTCTTCCCCCTTTCTCCTTTCTTCTCCCTCTCCCCAGCCTATTTCTTTGCCTCTTATTTACCCTAAGAAGAAATGTTCTGCTTTCTCATTTCCAGTTTATTCAGGGCCCAGCATCCATTTACTGGTCCTCACTCCCTGCTGATCTTCCTCCAGCATCTCCTCTTACCCGTAGAGTGTAGCCCTTCTTGTAGGCTTTGTAGCTGTTTTACCCTAGAATTATAGCAACACTTTTTTAATTTTTAGATGCTCAGTAGCATATCAAAGTGAACAAATTCAGATGACACAACATGAAGTCAGGAACCTAGAGTCAGAAGCAGCCATGTGGGTTCTCTGTGCCTGTGTTTTGTTGCTGCTGTTGGGCTTTGGGCTTTGGGCTTTGGGCTTTGGGCTTTGGGGGTAGGGGTGTTATGTAAAACATCAAAAGAGAAATTAGGGGAAAAGGTGGAGCAATGAGATTAGAAGTTGAAAGTAGGAAGGTTGTCAAGAACGCCTTATTGTGTGCCATGGCTCACCGTCTGGATTGGTTAATTGATACAGAATAAAGCTCAGAGTAAAAAGTCCAGAATAAGCTTGACAGTGTAAGTTTGTGTGTTGTATAGTTTATTCCATCCAATTTAGATGATCATCTTTCCTTATTGGAAACCTGTTAGTCCTGAATCTAATTGAAAACCACTTAATCCCACAGGCTCTGCAAGGACAGATATCAAGTCAGCAGGTCGCCGTAGAGAAGCTGAAGAAAACCGCAGAAGTACTCCTGGATGCCAAGGGCTGGCTACTTCCTGCCAAGAATGATATCCAGAAGACACTTGGTGAGGTCTTAGCTTGAGGTCTTGTTTCCTGTCTCATGGGTAAATGGAGGTGTTTTATACATAAGGAAGAAGTGTTCACAGATGTAGCTCGTTTGCTTCACGATCTCTGTCTGTGTGTATGAAATGAAAAACGCCTTCCCGATGACTGTTCATACAGTTCTCCCAAACAGAGCCGACTTAAAACCTGAGTAGAAATCTTCTGTGAAAGGAAAGCCACTCCATAACTCTTCTTCATTCTTAAGAGACACACAAATGATCTTGATTGTGGACCATGATCAATAAGTAATTTCAAGACACATGTATTTATAAATTATATGTGCATTTTATCACATTATAATATCTAATTAATTATATAAAAACTAAAACATTTTTAAGGCATATGAAGAAAGTGTGAGTGCTGGCCTTTAAAGTTTTATTCTTCCATTTCTATGTATTATCTTAAAATCCCACATGGGAGACCACCGCCACAGTAGGAACCTGAGCCTGGAAGTGTAGAGGAGGAAGACTCCTCATTGTGTTCTGTTATTTGAAGAGGCATTGTGATGTTTTCCTTTTTTTTTTTCTTTTTGTTTTTTCATCTTTTTAAGACAAGGTCTTGCTCGATAGCCCAGTTGCCCTGAGAATAACTGTGGAGCCCAGGCTGGTCTTGAACTCACAGGCCATCCTGCTGATGCGCCATCTGAATGCTACACTTCAGGCATGAGCTGCCATGCCTAGCTTTTCCTGCCGTTAAATGTTAAATTGTTTCATGGGTTACATCAATGATTTAAGCTTCTCTCTTGGCAACATTTTCTAGGAATGTGTGAAACGGTTTAGGATACAGAGGGATTTCCGTAAGATCTTGTATTTATTTCTAAGAAAAACAGTAACTTCTAAAAAACACTTTTTTTGGATTGTTTGTTGATTTTAAAAAAATAAATAAAAACAGCAAGAGCTTGCGTGTATCCCAGGCTAGCCCTGAACTGATGAAGGACAACAAGAGCTTGTGTGTATCCCAGGCTAGTCTTGAACTGATGAAGGACAGCAAGAGCTTGCGTGTATCCCAGGCTAGCCCTGAACTGATGAAGGACAACAAGAGCTTGTGTGTATCCCAGGCTAGCCCTGAACTGATGAAGGAGTTGTTGAGACACTTAAGAACTCTGTGTTAGGAACTGGGGCCAAGAGACAAATACTGCGACAGAGACTTTTCCCGTACTTTTTATTGCTCAGCAAATTTAAAGGATTAAAATTTTATACAAGGAACTGATCAAAACATATATGTATGTATGCATGCATGTATACACTTATATATGTTCAAATATATGTATATATGTGTATACACACACACACACATATACATATATTCACACACACACGTACACACAATGCCCCATGATTCCAAAGCCCTCATCTTCAGATACTACCATGTTAGGTCTTACACCTAAATACCTGGGTGGAGGATGGGAAGTCAAGGGTCACACACATGCAGTCTATAACTGTAATACTTGCAACATATTAAGTTTTTGAGGACAGTTTATTGTTTCGGGATGGTAAACCTTATGTCGTCGTGAAACAGGTCACCAATAGCTCTCATCACGCTGGTACATAATCACCACCCCCTGAGGAACAGCTCAACTGCCAATGGAAAACTGTGTCTTAAGGCAGCCGCTTGAGTTAGGGGCCATACCTGACTCTGACACTGGCTTCCTCTGCTTGTAGCCTGCTGGTGGATATGAAGTGCATTTCCTCTCTCTGTGCTGCTTTCTCGTGGACTTCGTTGTGTTTAGCCATGATTGTCTCAGTCACATAAACTTTCCAGTTCAGTGAGAGACTGTTAAGCCACAACTTAAATAGTTTTGCTATGGAGTCGTGCGCCATAGACCAGACACCAGCCTGTAAGGGGACTCGCTTAAGGAGCTGTCTAGGCCGTAACTCCTAGTGCTGTGTTCCACATTGTGTTCCACTAAAACATTCAGAAATAACTCACATGCTATTCTGAGTCTTTGTATAATAAAAAGTTTTTTTAAAAAATCACGATAGAAAACAAGTTGTTTTCCAAAGAGAGGCAGAAATGTAATAGCAGTATTCTTTAAACCTGTCATGGGTGTTTTTCTTTTCATCTTAAATCTTTAGAATTGAAAGTCAAGTTATATCCCAGGAGATAGTTTGTTCTGTTCATCTCATGTCCCCCTTTTGTCCACTATTAAACTTGTAAGTGAATTCTGTTGGTTGTATTTTAGAAGCATGATCATAGCTTTTAGTGGCTTTGTGCTGTGACTGTCCTGTTTTCTTAATACGTTTGCGTCTTCTTACTTCTGTGCGTTTGAAGTCTCTCTCTGATTATGACAGAGGCTGACCATGAGTGTCTATGTGACATAATTGTCTCTAGACAGTATGCCTGAGACTGTCACTCCCCACCCCAAGCAGTTATCAATAAGTGTGACAGATCAGGCTGAGACACAGTAGTGACTGCAGTGACCCACCATTTAGACCTTTCTGTCATCTCTCTGGGGCACTCCAAATGTATATGCATCTAAAAATCATCCCCAGTCATACAGATGACAGGCACGTGAAGTTTTTACTATTTTACTTTTCACTCAATTCCTGTCTTTATAAAAGTTACGCCTGATCTGATTATTCATTGGAAATACATCGTTTATGCTTTTCTTGTATGAAGACTTAATGGTTCATTGTAAAGTGCATTCGAAAAAGAATCGGGCAAATAGAACTCTGTGCTTCCTGTTCCCCTCTCTGTTTGGAGCAGAAGACATTGTTGGGAGATACGATGATCTGTCCAAGTCTGTGAATGAACGGAATGAGAAGCTTCAGATAACGCTGACCCGCTCGCTGAGTGTGCAGGACGGTCTGGACGAGATGCTGGACTGGATGGGCAATGTGGAAAGCTCACTGGTCAAGCCGGGTCAAGTGCCCTTAAACTCCACAGCGCTCCAGGATCTCATCAGTAAAAACACCGTGAGTGACCTTTGCCAAAGGGAAGAATTCCACTTGCACTTGAAAACAAGTTATTTGTCTTCAGGAATAGATAGGTAGACTTAGAGATAAAGAGGGATGCTTCTGAATACAACAGAGGAGCCATCAGTGCTTGTACAAATGAATATGTAAATGATTGTTTTTGATAGTGCCTGGAAAGGGGTTTATAGACTTGTCGTTATTCATTAAGGAGGCTTTAAAGCTACATTGTATCTAATCTTGTTTATCGTCGCTTCTCCCAGCTGCTCATGGGGTTTATCAGATCAATCTTGCTGTTCCCAGGCCCTTTAAAAATTAAGAACATGGCTAATCCCCAGGCTGCCTTAGATCCCAAGGGGTTGCCAGGTAGCAACAAGCCCCTGCCTTTTTCAAGCAGCCAGCCAGCTGTTCGCCACACTCCCTTGAAGAGCTTTAGGATTGGCTTCCTCAGGAGAAAAATCAAACATGTTATTCATTTCCAACTGTTCACCTTTTTAGTCACAGGTTGCCCAAGCTTAAGTTGCTGTGAAGAATCTTTTTCAAAACTCTGCGGCTTTATAAAAAATATATACAACAATTGCTGTATTTCAGATGCTGGAGCAGGATATTACAGGTCGCCAGAGCAGCATAAATGCCATGAATGAAAAGGTGAAGACATTTATAGAGACAGCAGACCCGTCCACCGCCTCCTCACTGCAAGCGAAAATGAAGGACCTGTCTGCTCGCTTTTCCGAAGCGAGCCAGAAACACAAGGAAAAGCTTGCCAAGATGGTGGAGCTAAAGGCCAAAGTAGAACAGTTTGAGAAGCTCTCAGAAAAGCTCCAGACGTTTCTAGAGACACAGAGCCAGGCGCTCACTGAGGTGGACATGCCCGGAAAGGATGTTTCAGAGCTGTCTCAGCATATGCAGGTGTGTATTCCTCAGGCGTTACAATGCCAGGTACGGGGACCGGTTAAGACAAGCTCATGCATTTATTTCATCGACAATCTTAACTACCAGTATCTGTTTCTCCATGAAGCATTTCTCTGTTGAATAGAAACAAACCATTTACCACACATCATAGCTGTTACGACCATCCTTGAACATGCTAAATCCACAGAGAAGCAAAACCACAGAGTCACCGTGGGCTGTCTATACATTCACAGACTATGGAGTGAAATGTAGTGGATGTGTGGGCTGTTCTTCTTCCATGCAGAACATGCTGGCGGGTTTGTGATTCTAAGATCTAGCGACGTTTATACTGACTGATGTAAATCCTTTGCAGGAATCAACTACTAAATTCTTAGAACACAGGAAAGATCTCGAAGCTTTGCACAGTCTCCTAAAGGAGATATCCAGCCATGGCTTACCAGGAGACAAAGCTCTGGTGTTTGAGAAGACTAATAATTTGTCAAAGAAGTTCAAAGAAATGGAGGATACTATCCAAGAAAAGTAAGACCCTCTCTTAAAAAAAAAAAAAATGTGTTTTATTTCACTCGGTGGTACTCAGCAGCTGAGTTGCCTTTATTTACTAAGTCTATGACTGAGGTGATTTCCAAACTGTGGAGTCTCAGACTGTTGGTGATTTCTGCGTTAAATATACTCAGGAGGCTGAAGGGGGATTACAGAGAATTTGAGGCCCTACCTTGGACTGCAGTGAGACCCTGTCTTATAAAAGCAAAACACAACAACAAAAACACCAATTTCTTATTGGGTAAACTATTAAGATGGGGACCTGAAAATGCTGCTTATGTAAACGTGGGAACATTCTGTTAGCACAGCAGTACCAGTGGGAGGTGGCTCAGAGGTACTGAGTTCAATTCCCAGCATTCAAATGGTGACTCACAACCATCCCTAAAGGGATTTGATGCCCTCTTCTGTTATGCAAGTGTATACGAAGACAGATTTTTAAAAAAGGAACATAAATTTAAAAAGGTATTAAAAAAAATATAATGGCTTGTGTTCTCCAATTAGCGAATGAGCTACAAATCCACAAACAAGTGGCCCGGTTTGACCTTTGATTCTATATGGCTCTGTTCTACACCTTCACATTTTTCTGTCTCATGTTTAGAACACTCGTCTGATTTTTATGAATGAAAGAGCCCCCCCCCCCAAAAAAAAAGATGTTTTAGCATGGTTATTTATCTTTCATCTAGTTTTACTTCCTTAGAATTCTCTACCTAAAACATCTGGGTTCTCTTTCTAAACCCGTCACAGAAGACATATTCGTGGCTGCCTTACATAGTCTAGGTTATCTATTCCAATTTTAAATTCAGGTAACACGTAGACTATTAAAGCGTTAACACCATGTGGTCATCAGTAGTTTGTCCAGCTGAAGCACATCCTTATCTCCAGCACGTAAGTCAGATAGATGTGCACAGAAGCCATTCACATGTCAAGTGCAACGGTCTTCATAGGTCCTGTGCTTGGCCTATAGAAAGGCCTGTAGGGTTTACAATGGAGCATCTCATGTGTTGGGGCGGGTGAGCACCTGTTAAAACTCCAGTCGCTGGTTACATCTCTTGGAGAGGTAGAAATGTCATCCCTCCAAAGTGCCGAGTTAAGACATCCTTTAACATGACCTATGTTCTCCTCGGGTCAGCAGTGTATATGTGTATTTTCTGGCTCTTTGCCTGCTGGCACTAAGTATTATGTAAAATGGACCTGTCAAAGTAACTAGAGTTTACATAGTATTAGAGAGTACTGTTATGTGTGAGTGACGTATTTCATGACTGTACCCTCTCTCTATGAGCTTTACTTAAGGAATCAACAAGTAATTACTTAGCTGATTTCATTTGCCACATAAGGAAACTTCAGCCTGATACTTGGGAATATTGAGCGCTGGTTAATAATTGGCCTTTGGAGCATCTGGCTTTGAAGCTTAACGTCTTCTTTTTGTTCACTAGGAAAGAAGCACTGAGTTCTTGTCAGGAGCAGCTGAGTGCTTTCCAAGCTCTTGCTCAGTCACTGAAAGCGTGGATAAAAGAAACAACCAAGCAGGTTCCTGTCCTGAAGCCTTCTTTCGGCGCAGAGGACTTGGGAAAAGCTCTGGAAGAAACCAAGGTGGCTCATTAGACCTCACACTAACTTCTGCTTGCCTGTGTTAGTCATGAAGCATAGGGTCCTTTAGCCTAAACTCAAACAAGCTGCTCTCAGAAATGCCCTATAGGATCTGTGGAAATCAGTAATGGGATGAGCTGATCTCTTCAAGGAATTACATAATCTTTTTGTTAATTCAATTTAATATATATATATATATATATATATATATATATATAATGTATATTATATATGTAGTGCCTCATTAGCCTCCATAATATTGAAATTTCCTTCTTTATCAAATCTCAATTTAATTTCCATTTTTTTTATACCTTCTCTCCAAGTAGTAAGAAAGAGACCCTTGTCTTCATGTGCAAGGTCTAACCAGTACTGGAAGACAAGTTATTTGACTTTCTTGCATAAGTAATGTATAAGTATTTTGTTGTCTGACTTAAGTAATAAAAGTTACGGCTGATTGTGTCAGATTTTTCTCAGAGTGAAATCATGTAGCTTTAACACTTCATTGAAATTTTGGTAGTTAAACTCAGCGTGAGGTGGAATTTTATACACCCGTGTTTTATTTTTATTGTCCTGTCACATACTTTATGACGTAGCTGCACCTGGTAGAGCCCTACAGACTTACAGTTGACAGTTACTCTAGAACATTCCCGTGGCGCCAGGACACAGCCTGCCTCCCACTGTGGCTGGGGGCAGAACACAGAATGGGCTTTGCCCCGTTCTCCTCTGCCAACAGTGTTAACAGTCACCTGGGCCCGCAGTCATTGTTGCTTTGAAATATGCTTAAGAAGTTCAATTATAATGTACAACTTTGAAGATACATGGAAGACTGAAAGATGATGTGTTTTTGTGTTTAAAGAAATTACAAGAAAAGTGGAGTCTGAAAGCACCAGAAATTCACAAAGCAAACAACAGTGGGGTCTCACTATGTAACCTGCTGGGTGCATTGATCAGCCCTGCAAAGGCCATAGCCGCAGCCAAATCAGGTACGTGCTTTGTTTTCATGACAAGTCTGTAAGAATTCAATCCTTCATGGTCCTTTTGTGGTTTTGAAATTAATTAAATTTAAAACAAACAAACAAAAAAATCACCTCAGGAATACAAAGGAAAAGATGTAAGATGAGTGACTTTTAAAAGCACACTGACATCTGTCACGGAATTGGGGAGATGACTCCTCAGATATGTTTGTGCAAGCACAGGATGGGAGACTGAATCTCCAGTCTCCACACATGTTTTGTACATGTGTGAGCATGGTGCTGTACCTGTGATCACAGCCCTCGGGAGGCAGAGACAGGAAATCCTCCGAGCAGGCTGACAAACCAGACTCACCAAATCCTTGATCTCCGGGCTTGGCGTGTGGCCCTACCTCAGAAAGTAAAGTGAAAACCGATTTTGGAAGAAAGCAAACAAGCAAACATCCAGGATGGGCCTCCGAGTGCAGGAGCAGACACATGCATAGTACTCACCTGGACATGTACAGCTATAAACATAGGAATATGTATATACATATACACACATTACCCCCCTCCAATCTGTCAGGCAAAATGTTTGATTTTATTAAATATTACAAGTCAAATGGAACCAGGCAAGGATAAGAAGACGGTACTGACAAAGGTTCCAGTCTGTTTGCTTTGGACTGTGTTTATTTAAGTGGAGATAGTGAAGCCCCCTTTGAGCTGTCTCGCCTCTCATTATACTATGTAGCAAATGGATTTGGTTTCCTGGTACTGGAGAGGCCAGGGTGTGGGCCCTTGTCTGTGAGGCAAGCTTGCTGTTCTCCTTGTGTCTGCCTGCTTGTTTGAACTTGGTTCCCGAAGCGTTTGCTTCTGCAGCCTGCTGGCCTGCACGCTCACATCTCAGCCTCAGCCCTGGCTGTTCCCACTCCTCTCAGCCAAAGACCACAGTTGCACATAAATGCCGGTTCCCCAAATAACTTAATACGAATATAGTGTTTTGGTAAGGCATACTTTACGGAGCATACTTTTTCATTTGCTTTTGTTTAAGTTGAAGAATAGACAGAAGGCCAGTCTCCTATCTCCATTGTGTATCCTCTGGTTTATCTAGTCTGACCAGGCCTCCAGCTGTCCCCATTGTGAGTGACACCCGTGTTCCAGCTGCACTTTTCTCAAACAGCCATTTTTTCCACTCCGTTGATCCCTTTTCAAGGGATGCCCGTATCGTATATGCTACAGTGTTCGCTCCTGTCTGCCCTAATCAGATTTCCTGAGACCTCAAGTTGATTTTTTTTTCTTATGAAAAGGAATTCTATTGTCTTTGATTTATCTGAGTTCCTCCCGTCTCCTTTATATTTGGAATAAAATCTATACCCTTGATTGGTGTTCTCTGCTTGACTTTTAACAATTAGTTTAGAGATTCTAGGGCACTTTCACTTTCTTGAAAATGCCTTATGCATCTACTCCTGTGTGTGTGTGTGTGAGGGGGGGGCGGAGAGAGAGGGAGAGGGAGAGAGAACTCAGATGTTTAAATGTTTCTATTGATTGCTCTTGCATGGGCATCTCTCTCCTTTGATAGACAGCCAGTGGATGCTAGCATGAGAAAGTTGGATTTTATTAACATTGTGGTTATGGAGACATGCCAATCCCAGATGGTTATGATAATAAAGGACAGATGGCTATTATGACTGACTAAGGAGTTTCTGTTTGGTAGGTAGTGGGTTAACTGTGTGTGGTTCCCACAGTGTTCGTACAGGTTAGCTCCCATGGTACCCATCAGCTTCATTCAGTACTTCTTCGGGCACACAGTTAGTAGTTGGAAGAGCTGGCATTCACGCTCAGGAGAGTCCTACCCCAGGCCCACGCACAACCCGCCCCTGTGTTTTCTGTGTTGGCACATGTGGACTGAACAACAGGCTTTTGTTCTGGATTTACCTTCAGAAGTTTGCCTCTTGTCTTTTTAAATCATCCTGCCTTCATTAGGCCTGTGATTATGTTGTGTAAACTGTCAGACAATACTCAGTCCTTAGGCAAAGCAGACATTTTCGTCTCAGTTGCTTTGCTTTCTTTAATACGTAGGTGCTAGGGACCTTTGCCCCAGCTTTATCATTGAGATGACCTTAGCATAAAATATCTTAGCTATTTAATTTGAGAATCAGCCTTTGATTAATTTATGAATGGTAGAAAGAAAGAAGAGAGAGAGGAGGAGAGAGAGAGAGAGGGAGAGAGGAAAGTCACTACTGTACAAATGAGCAGTGGAAGTTTATTTAATGCCATCTTAGTAGGTAGAAATACTAGGACAATCTAAAGTTACTTCATTGTTTGGGTTTTTTGTTTGTTTGTTTGTTTATTGTTTTTTTTTTGTTTTGTTGCAGGTGGAATAATACTAAATGGTGAAGGAACAGACACAAATACTCAGGATTTCTTGGCAAATAAAGGTGAATAGTAACCTTATCTGGCTTGTGATCGATGGAATTTGATGTTCTAGAGGACAGTAGTGATGCTGAAATCTTAAACTTGAGTTAAAATGGTCACTGTGTCTGTGAATATATTGCTATAACTATCCATCTGAGATAAATGAACCTTTGATGTTTCACTCTGGGATTTGGTTTTGTTTCCTTCTTGTTCGTTTGCTGTTTGGTACCCAAGTAATCTGTTATGTTTGAGCTTACAATTTCATCAAGTTACCTCTTACCCTCTTATGTTTTACAATTACACAGTTTTCCTGAGTTATTTGTTATCAACTAGCAGTATGACCTCATCTTTCTATCCTAAAAAGTCTGTGGTCCATTGTAGCAGGCTTAACAGTGTCAAAATAGAAGAAAATGCCATCTACGATAAACCTTAATTCCATCGCTCCTCTACAAAACCCTCAGCGTGCATTCGCATACTTTTCTTCCTGCTCTTAGGTTTAACATCTATCAAAAAGGACATGACTGACATAAGCCACAGTTACGAAGACCTGGGCCTCTTACTCAAGGATAAAATAGTTGAACTGAACACTAAGCTCTCCAAGTTGCAAAAGGCTCAGGAAGAGTCCAGTGCGATGATGCAGTGGTTACAGAAGATGAACAGAACTGCCAGCAGGTGGCGCCAGACCCCGACACCGGCAGACACGGAGTCTGTGAAGATGCAGGTGGAGCAGAACAAGGTAGGCTGGCTACACGGAAGAAAGCCGCACGGAGAACGGACTTACCCAGAGCAGCCCTGGGGGCCTTGAGCTCCGTTCCGTTTTCACCCTAGACCCTTCATCAGATGATGACTCTTCTGTTTAAATCGGTCTTTCTGTAGATTGGAGCAACGAGTAGTCACTTTTCCAGCCCTCTGACATTCTAAAAAGGAGTAAACTGTAGGGTATGAGTAACTTAAAATCAGCTTAAATCTGGGATATCACCTAGTCAGCTAAAGTGGGACAGCTGATACTGGCGTCTTTAACAGACAGCATTTCTGTAGCTGACAAGACTGGGAAAATAGTTTCTCACTGCACTGACAAAAATGTAGGCAATTTATCAACCCGTATTTGAATTCGACCATGTGGACTCTCGAGTCCCAAATTCTGGAGGCCTTTACCAAGGCTGATTGCTTATCAGTTACCTCACTGAGAACAGCTTGCATTTGTCCAGAGTCATTTGAAAGCAGGAAATTACAGAAGTCGGTCATTACCTCCATAGAGTGTTCCTCTGTGGGGTTTCTGTATCTCACAATTGAAGATGGCCAAGGAAAAAAACAAGAATTATCAGCTGCATAATCCAGGTCCTCGCCCACTGCAGCGTTTGACTCCAGGGTTTTCCTTTCTGGGTTATCCCAGAGCGGAGGGGATGGGGGGGTGAGGAAATGCTTTTTGTCTTTTGTTGCCGTATTTTTGTGTAGTTAATTAGTGTTGCTTTTTCCTTGTTAGTCATTTGAGGCAGAACTAAAGCAAAATGTAAACAAAGTACAAGAATTAAAAGACAAACTGGCAGAGCTTCTGAAGGAGAACCCAGAGGCTCCTGAGGCCCCATCCTGGAAGCAGACTCTGGCAGAGATGGGTGAGTCTATCCACGTGCTAGGGCTCATGGGTACTCAGCTGCTTTCATAGTCAATGGAATGTTCTTCAGCAAACATCTGACAGTCTCATTTGCTTTTGGATTTTCTTTAAACGTCTCAGAACCTACTTTTTTTACTATTTAAAAATCACAGGTTTTGTTCTGAGAGCTGGCATTCGGCTGTTTTTATGAAGAAGTTCATAATTGGTAATGAAATGGTACACACTGAGTTACGTCTTTATTAGTGTTTATTTTCTTTCATTCACTTTACGCTCGTTATTTTTGCACCTTGTTAATTTTCTTTCGTTCATCCGGAAAGAGCAGGCTCCCTTCTCCTCTGCAAGGTCACTTCTGGGCCCCCTGCCTCCTCAGGTTTTCTTTCTCTCAAGCCAGTGTTGAAGGGAACAGGGCAATCCTCCCCTCCCATCCTGTCTTTGTATGCACTGCTAGTAGGTACAGAATTTTCTTCAGTTTGTGAGGTAAAAAGACGTAGAAAGTAAGTTCCCTACTTTATTCTGTTGTTTAGAGGTTTCAGTAAGTTAAGGTGTGTCTAGCCAGGGGCCACAGTTGACACGGTGAAGTGTATCCCGTTGCTTCTCGGAATTTCTTACAGGTATTCCACTATAGTTATTGCAAACCTTCTTCCCATTAGTTTTTGGCACCGTAAACTTAGAAACGAGTAGGTGTTCTTCGTGTTCAAAGGCGGGCAGGATCTGACTCAAGAATCCCTCTGCATCGTGGTTTCCCCTGCATCAGAGGCTCTCCTAGAGATATCAGAATTGCTTGAGGAGAGCATGGTCAGACGTTTGAGAGAAGAGATGGGACTGAAGAGTATGCATTTCCTACAGAGCCTCCAGATGCTTTTGATACTTCTCCACCCCGAGTGCTTTTGTAAACAGTCTTGCTAGTCAGATTATATAGGATTGGAACGTCTCCTATAGAGGAACACCATTAAATAAAAGTCCCCTACTGTGTCTATTAAAGTCTGTCCTGGAGCATATGGTGCCAAGGGACAAACACACAAACCCCTTGGGGCTTGTGAAACAGCTCAGTCAGGAAAGTGCTTAGCTAACTTCAGAGCATCAGTTCAGTTCCATCCCATAACCCATGCAGAAGCCCTTGACATGGTAATACAAGCCTGTAATCCCAGTGCAGAGGCGGCAGGAACAGGTAGACCCCCTGGGCTATCTGGACAGCCTAGCCTACTTGCCATGTACTGGGCCAATGAGAGACGTTGTCTCAGAGAAAAAACAAGTACCAGGCCAATGAGAGACCTCGTCTCATAGATGGAAACAAAACAAGCAAAGCCATATGGCACAGCTCCAGGAACAGCAGTTAGGGCTTGTTCTTTGGCTTCCACATGTCTATGCACATGTATGTGAGCACACACATGTATACATACACACATTAAAACACATGTAATCTCTGAAATAAACCAGTCACTCTAAGCAGTTACTATTTATGGGGCAATAGGTGGGCTTCAGTGCTTGCCTCTGATAACTAATGTTTCACCTCAAGAGGTATGCTCTGTGTAACCTAGGTGAGCAAGGCTTCCTGGCTGAGGGTAAGATCCCAGGGGACTGGGAATGATGGTCAGAGGTAGAGGTCACAAGAAGGTGCTCCGGTGTGGCCTGGACACATGCTGCTTTGGGGAGAATGTTAAGATTACTGGGCTGGATTAAAGGGTTGATGTCAGTATAAACTCCACATGATGGGTGTTCCAGGGCCAGACTATGACAGGCCCTACATTTTTGGCAAATGCCTTCAGATTGTGTCACCTAAGGAATGGAAAGTTATTGCTGGAAGGATTTGAGTAGGGAACTGGTATGTTTTAAAAATGATAAGTTTTAAATTATGTTAGAACCAAATGGCTTACAGCTGAGAGAGAGAGAGACAGAGAGAGAGACAGAGAGAGAGACAGAGAGAGAGAGAGAATATGAATGAGAGAGAGAGAGAGAGAGAGAATGAGAGAGAGAATGAGAGAAAATTACAAGACTGCCAAACTAGGTCTGAAGGTTTTGCATCCACATAGACTGCTGTACCACCTGGGAACTAGTTAGAAATCTGAACTTGCAAAACCTTACTCCAGACCTCCTACTGCACCAGGTCGGTGTGTGTCAACAGTCTCTCCAGGTGGTTCTGTAGCAACTGAGTTGGGAAGCACTGTGGTCGGGTATAGGCCATAGTAGAGTGCAGCACTGAACATATCAAAGATGGTCTGGAGGCTATGGTGACATGGCACCACAGAGGGCCCGCCGTAAGCACCTATGCTTACTTAACCCGGCTAAGGTCGTCTCATATGGCCACAAGGAATGAAACCAGGCCGGGGTTGGAGGGGCAGGAGCAAGACTGACAGTTTTATTGAGAGCAGTAAGACTTGTTTTATCAGAATCAGAATGGAATGGCAATTGCCAGGATCAATACAATTGTAGTTGCCAGGATTACAGTGAAGTCTGTAAGTTAAACAGGATACAGAAGATTAATGTCCCAGACCAATTGTCCTGTCAAGTCTCCATGCTTCCTTGACTACTGAGGGGACATACAGAAAAACACAAAGCAGCCTGAAGGCTTCACTACATTGGAAGCGCATTGGTCTGTCCGGAACTGGAAGGCACATTGCGCGTGACCCGGGAGCCACAGACTATAACCTGAAAAACCTGTGACTCATACCTCTCAAGGCCGCCAGGCCAAGCCAACTCATGGTTCCTGCAGGCCATCCTGAGTCATTCTGGATGCTTAGTGGTTAAGAGTAGATACTGCTCTTGCAGAAGACCTGGGATCAGTTCTTAGCACCCAAATTGGGCAGCTCCAACCACCTATGACCCCAGCTCCAGGGGGATTCTGGCCTCTGAGTGCACCTGCATTCCCGTTCACATAACACACACGCACACACACACACACACACACACACACACACGGGGTGTGGGGAGGAGAGAATTAAAATAAAATATTTTTTAGAAGTCGTTCTGAATTACTGACTCTCAGTGAAAAGGAAGAGAGGATAACCTTTGAAAGAAATATAAAAACAGGAGCAAATACCTCATCAGTCTTCAGAGGAATAGAATTGATGTTCCCTTTGGTAGTTCTGAATGCAGTACAACACAAAATCACAGACTTTTAAAACACAAGGAGTGGATGGTTTTGTTTTGTTTTGTTTTCTGTGTGATTTTTCTTTGCCACTTCGATGTCTAGTTCTCAAGTGTGAACTTTCTAGTAGTCAGTGTCAGGCCACAGTCATAAGGCTAGACCTGTCCTTTCACAGGGCTGCTGAGATTTTGTACTGTAGCTTTGCAACGGTTGGTTGGTACTGAGTGAGTTTAATAGAATTCTTGAGGGTAAATATTCAAATATGGAAGCCATTTGCCTAGAAATAATTGAGGATTCTGTTTTCAATTTGGGGTTGTGGTGTAGCTCAGTAATAAAGAACTTGTCTAATATTCATAAAGCCCTAGATTCAATGCCCAGTAAATACATGTACACACATACACATGCATATGTGTGCGCACACACAATTTATTGCCTTTATAAGTACTTTTAGAAAGAATGTAAGATGACAGGAACCTGAGGTTTGCTTTACTTATACATGAGTTAATACACAATTACTAGATCCATAATGCTAGAGCAAGGAATGAAACAGAGGTTGGGTTGCTTTGTAGAGAAGGACGCAGAGACCAGTCATCATACAGAGTGAGCATTGTTAGGAAAGAGAGCTTCAGGACCTTGGAGACCATGGTCAGACCTTGAGGTGGGAAAGACAGCGGTAGGAGGAACTGTGCATCATAATGGATAGAAAAGCCCACATTGCATGACGGGGAGAGCACGGTAGGCATTCTGAGAGCTGCTGTGCACAGCATGACCGGGAAGCAAGCCTTCAGAGAAAGAGCCCTTGCAGAAAGGACATATTTTTGACTACTATAGTTTTGGGCTCTGAGGCTTGCTCTACCCCAACCCCCCCAACCCCTGTAACCCCCTCCAGTCCAACCCTACTGAGGTCAAGGCACCAAGGACAGGTGGTCATGGCTCTTCTCTCCAGACTACACCTCACAGTGACCGACATCTTAGAATGGTGGGCTCGTGATCCAACACGTAGTCCCCGTACCATTTCACACAAGTACTTCTTTTAAGTGATGCAGGAGAGCTGCCAGACGTGAACAAGCTAGCGACGTAGCTTACAGGTTTCATACTTGCCTAGGTTACATACATTAAGGCCCTAGGTTTACATCCTAACACCAAAGGGGGAGAAGAGGAATGCCTTCCATTGTATGTCATTTTGAAGACATAGTTACAGTTTTCCAACGGTGATATTAAATGAAAAAGAAAAGAAGAAAGCGGATGCCAGCTCAGTCGTTTTTTTCTTGTTTTCAGACACTAAGTGGCAAGAACTCAACCAGTTAACTGTCGACCGGCAACAAAAGCTGGAAGAGTCCTCCAATAACCTAACCCAGTTCCAGACCACAGAGGCCCAGTTAAAACAGTGGCTCACGGAGAAAGAGCTGATGGTCAGTGTGCTCGGGCCCTTGTCCATTGACCCAAACATGTTGAGCACACAGAAGCAGCAGGTCCAGGTGAGTGTCGCCCACGCACCAGCTGGGACATAGCCCCTTGACGTTGCAAGGCAAATGTTTGCAGTGTAAACACGTTAGTGCCACCTTCTTGCCATGTGACCCATTGTCTGAAACAAGGGTTTCAGAGAGCTGCAGCAGTGAGGTAGCCACCGTGGTCTTCCTGGGCCAGCATATGGCCCAGTCACACTGTGGTTTTTGGAGATCCATTAAATTGACCGAAGGTGTCTCCGAAGGATGAATGGGTTAGCCAAATGGTGGTGATGTTTGTGTCCTTTGAGGCATCGTTCATTTTGATTAGAGACTTGTAAGACTCACAAAGTCCAGTCCTGAGCAAAAGGCAGAGCAAAGAGAAGGCAAAGGCAAAGGCTGAGGGAGCAGTACATAGGTAAATCTTAGTCATCAGAGAAGCCCACGGGGGGTGGGGGTGGAGGGGGGGAAGAAAGTCCGTAACATCTAAGTTGGGCACAGTAGCTTGAGGTCTGTGGTGGCTTCAGCTGAGTTTCAACTAGGCGAGCCGTGGCTTCAGCAGGGAAGAGCATCTCGTTTCAGTCAAATGTGCAGCCAGGACCCAGCGGTTTAAAGCCACATGTTCTAGTTCATAAGTTCATAATATAAAGAGCGCCAAGACGAAAAAATGAAAAGGAACTATCTGGACAAATACTTGCTTGTAGTCTTAGGAGTCTGAAATGAATAGGTAAACAAATACCAAAAAAATAGATAAAAATATAAAATAAAAGATTGAGTACACCACAAGGAGGCCTCTCGGGGTCACTTGTGTTGACAGTCATGATGGGCCTCAACATTCTGAGCAGTGAGATTTTATGTCTCAAACCTGTATAATAAAGACTGTAAATGTCAGTCCACTATTTAAGAAAAAAACGTTTATAAGCCTAGAGCACTGGAGCATACTAAACAGTTACCACTGCATTTTCCTCACTGTAGAATCGAGAGTGTAAAGCTAGTGATGAGAAAAGCATGATCCAGGCAAGACAAACGTGGTGGTAGTGTGAGCTCAGTAACAGTATCTCGTGGCAATGGGCATTTGCCCAGGCTAGAGCCAGTATCATTCTTCTTCATCCTTTGAAAGATGATATGATCTTAACAAGTTGTTAACTGTGAAGCAACAAGGGTCTTAAAATTAGTTTCAGATAACCGCACTGTCCTCAAAAAAGTCAGAAAACATTAAAACAGAATTCCAGACACACTAGAGAAAACGAGTACCATTTCTTTATGTTTGGATGCTTAAATTTATGTTTGCTGGGGCTGGAGAGATAGCAGCAGTTAAGAGTACTGGCTGCTCTTCCAGAGGACCCGAGTTCAATTCCCAGAAAGCACATGGTGGCTCGAAACCATCTGTAATGAGATCCGATGCCCTCTTCTGGTGTGTCTGAAGACAGCTACAGTGTGCTCACATATATTGAATGAATGAATGAATTTATGTTTTCTATAATTAATTATATGACCCTTTGTTTATTTTTCCATGGTTAACCTAGATTCTGCTGCAAGAATTCGACACCAGAAAACCTCAGTATGAACAGCTCACAGCAGCTGGCCAGGGCATTCTGAGCAGGCCTGGGGAAGACCCTTCTTTACATGGGCTTGTGAAGGAACAACTGGTAGCTGTGACCCAGAAGTGGGAGAACCTAACCGGACAACTAAGGGACAGGTGTGACTGGATTGGCCAGGCTATCGTCAAAAGCACACAGTACCAGGGTCTGCTGAGAAGTCTCTCAGGTACCCTGACTGAGCTGGATGACAAGCTCAGCAGTGGCCTCACCGCGGGCACACTGCCCGATGCCGTGAACCAACAACTGGAGGCAGCCCAAAAGCTGAAACAGGAAATAGAGCAGCAAACACCGAAGATCAAGGAGGCCCAGGCAATCTGCGAGGACCTGTCGGCACTGGTCAAAGAGGAGTACTTGAAAGCAGAACTGAGCAGGCAACTGGAAGGCATCTTAAAGTCGTTTAAGGATATTGAGCAAAAGACAGGTTGGCCTCTCTCTTTATATACCTGTTTCCTGGTCAGAAATCAGTACCCTGTCTTGCTGTTTCTGAGCTCTTGGTGATAATTTGTGGCTGTGCACGGAGCACAGAGAGCAGTTCTGTGGCAGTCTAGATGTTCTACACAGATGAGACAGAGATGTTCTGCACACGGCCCATGCACGGCAAATGCTTTAACTCTGGATGGTCCTAGCTGCTTTTTTTCTTTTTAAATGCAGAAACATCTTTGCTATGTTAAATTGTCTTTTTTCATCAGAAAAACAGACACATAGTTTTTTTAAAGGCTTCCTATCATTTCCTCCTGTTGCTTTGTATGATGTGTCACAGAAAGAATTAGAGAAATGTGTGGATTTCTCTCTGTTCCTCTCTCACACGTAGCAGCAATTCTGTGACAAACAGGCCGGCACTTATTAAATGCAATGGGGTGGATGAAGGGTATTGCCGAAGAAGGACATGGCTCGCTGGTCTGGTCTGTGTCAGAAATCCTGCTACAGTCTAGCCCTTGCCCCTGGTCATATCTGATTTGTTTTTTAATTGACTCTGTCTTTATATTGATTGCACCAACCGTTTGAGGCTTCTTTGACACCCAGACGGCTAAGTGTAGTACATAAAATCTGTGTGGGTGGTAAACCTGGCTTGATCTCAGAGTTGGAAGTACCTGGCAAATGATGTAAACCCCCAGAATATGGAAAAGTCAAACAAAAGGAGTAGGGGTTGTATTTGATATGAAGCAGGTTACAGGCAGCACACGTAAGACCTGTGCAGGTTCAAACCAGACAAAATCACAGCGTTGAGAAGGGGAAGTGGACACAAAGTCCCACCCTAACCAAGAAGCAATTGATACCTGTTGGGAAATGGAAAATCTGTTTTCTACCAGGGAGTGTTACTGGGGAGGACTGGGCATAGTTGGTCTACATAAAACAGATTCAGATAGATAGATAGATGATTGTTAGATAGATAGATAGATCTATCTCTGTGTGTGTGTTTCATATTGTTTTAATATTTTTTTATCTTACTGGTTTTATGTTTTTCTATTTTGGAGGGTTATTTGTTTTGTTTTATTGTTTTGAAACAGGGTTTCTCTGTGTAACTTTGGCTGTCCAGAAACTTGCTCTATAGACCAGGCTAACTTCGAACTCAGAGATGTCCCTACCTCTGCCTCTTCTTCCCAAGGGCTAGGACCTTCCAGCTGCTTATTTTAGTTTTTACTGTTTTTATTTTAGGGAGAGAAGGAAGAACTCGAAGTTGTATGGGTAGGGAAGGTGGAAAGGGTCTGGCAGGAGTTAGGGGAGGGGAAAATGTAATTCCAGTGTATTTATGATTAAAAGAAGCTAGTAGGTGATTGACAGTCCAGAGCTGTACTGTGGCTGATTGGTCATTCTGACATGGAGAAGTCAGTCTGAGAACAGGCCTCGTATGCTGTGTGCACACCTTGCACCTTCATCTTTATCTGTTTCCCTGGCCTTTGTTTTTCCTTCTCATAGCTGCCTTCTTGCCCTAGAGGCCTCTAGTTGTTCCCTCTGTCAGTACCTCAAGTTCGCTTACAGTGCTAAAGGTCTGCTTTAGGATAACATATACCACCTTTTGGAGGTTTTAGTTGTTTGGTCCTTTTTTTTAAAAAAAAAAAAAGATAATGTTAAAAATCTTAAAATGTTACATCTGTGGTCTCACTTTCAGAGAATCATGTTCAGCGCCTCCAGTCAGCCTGTGCGAGCTCTCACCAGTTTCAGCAAATGTCTAAGGATTTCCAAGCGTGGCTTGACGCAAAGAAAGAAGAGCAAAGGAACTCTCCCCCGATATCCGCCAAGCTGGATGTCTTGGAGTCGTTACTGAGAGTGCAGAAAGACTTTGGCAAAACTTTCACTGAGCAGTCTAACATCTATGAGAAAACCGTTGCAGAAGGTGAAAACCTGTTGTTGAAGACACAGGGGGCGGAGAAGGCAGCCCTGCAGTTACAGCTCAACACCATCAAAACCGACTGGGACCGATTTAGGAAACAGGTGAAAGAAAGGGAAGAGAAACTGAAAGACTCGTTGGAAAAAGCCCTCAAGTACAGAGAGCAGGTGGAGACTCTGCAGCCGTGGATAGACAAATGTCAGCACAGCCTGGAGAGAGTGAAATTCTCCTTGGATCCCACTGAGACAGAGAGTTCCATCGCCAAGTTAAAGTCCCTGCAGAAGGAAATGGACCACCACTTTGGTATGCTGGAACTGCTGAACAACACAGCCAATAGCCTGCTCAGTGTCTGTGAGGTAGATAAAGATGCAATCACAGAGGAGAATAAGGCATTGGTCCAGAAGGTAAACGTGGCCACCGAGCAGCTACAAAGCAAGAAAATCTCCCTGGAGAACACAGCCCAAAAGTTTAAAGAATTTCAGGACATTTCCAAAGATACCAAAAGGCAGCTTCAGGATGCAAAAGACCAGCTAGAAGCCCATCACTCCCTAGGACCTCAGGCATACAGTAACAAGCACCTGACCATGCTCCAGGCCCAGCAGAAGTCACTGCAGACCCTGAAGCATCAGGTAGACTCAGCAAAAAGGCTGGCTCAGGACCTCGTGGTAGAAGCTGCCGACTCAAAGGGAACCTCTGATGTGTTGTTGCAAGCAGAGACCTTAGCTGAAGAGCACAGCGAACTGAGCCAACAGGTGGACGAGAAGTGTTCGTTCTTAGAGACCAAGCTCCAGGGTCTCGGCCACTTCCAGAATACCATCCGAGAGATGTTCTCTCAGTTCACAGAGTTTGACGATGAGCTAGATAGCATGGCCCCCGTGGGGAGAGATGCAGAAACCCTGCAAAAGCAAAAGGCGTGCATGCAGACCTTCCTGAAGAAACTGGAAGCCCTCATCGCGAGCAATGACAGCGCAAATAGAACCTGCAAGATGATGCTAGCCACTGAGGAGACCTCTCCTGACCTTATTGGAGTCAAAAGGGACTTAGAAGCCTTGAGCAAACAGTGCAACAAGCTGCTGGACCGGGCAAAAACCAGAGAGGAGCAGGTAGACGGGGCCACTGAGAAGCTGGAGGAGTTCCATCGCAAGCTGGAGGAGTTCTCGACTCTGCTCCAGAAGGCTGAAGAACACGAAGAGTCCCAGGGCCCCGTGGGTACAGAGACCGAGGCAATCAACCAGCAGCTTGACGTGTTTAAGGTAGGGAACGCCTGATTTTTCCTGTGATGGTTTATCTCACTATACCGGGAGCTGCTTGAGGGCAGGACAGAAACTTAGCAGGCTGGTAATTACCATGACTTGCCAGTGAGGAGCCCATTATTCACGTGCGCCCCTCCCCCTTTAAGGTAGATTTAAGCATAGATTTCCCTGCCGCCTCCCCCAAACAGAACTGAAGAAAATGCTGTTAGCATTAACTTTGTTTCCTTAAAAAAGACAAGATTTATATACGGTTTAAAATATCAATTCAGCAATAATCACTGAAATCCTGACTGGATTTCGCTGACATGGAGAAGTCAGTCTGAGAACAGGCCTGGTATGCTGTGTGCACACCTTGCACCTTTTTCCCTGGCCTTTGTTTTTCCTTCTCATAGCTGTTAATCTGAGTCAAATATTCTGATTCACCATCAGTCAAAGGAAGATTGCAAAAAAATTTGACCAAGAACCGATGCCCCTTCGGTTAAAACCATAGATTTGATTTCTTGGGCCTTAACAGGTTCCAAGTCACTGGATTAAAGTCTACGGGGTGAGGTCCTTTTTCTACCGTTGGAAATTCAAGGTATCCTCTTCCTTCCGTGCGTCTCTAGTCTTGCAGTTCAGTTCTGCTCTCCCCCTGTGATAATGGTACAGTCTGAAATCAGAGTCAATCACCTCTATCGAAGAAGGCTGCTGTGTCCCTCCTGAGTCCTACCTGCAGAGTTCCGGCTCAGGGTTGATTTTAAATGGAAGATACATTAAATAATACACATGCTCACATTTTTTTATTTTACTAGCTAGCTATTTATTTATTTATTTATTCATTTATTATTTCATTTATTTGTTGAGAAAGGTCTTACTGTGTCAACCTGGCTGGCCTAGCATTCTCTATACAGACCAGGGTGGCCTCTGCCTCACAGAGATCTGCCTGTCTCTGCCACGTGCGTGCCAGAACTAAAGGCACGCACCACCAAGCCCAGCATGCTCATTTTCATTTATCAAACATTTATGGAACTGACTATACAGTATACGCAGTGGTCCCTGTGATGTCATTAGCAGCCAATCAGATCCTTTCATGATGATATTGAACTGATTTAATTTCCGTGAAGAGCAAAGAAACTAGACAACTTCAGTTGTCTAGACCTGGCGTCGCATGTCAGCTAGATCGGGATCTTTGCCTCTCTCTAGACCATGGCAAGATGTTAGAAGACAAAAGCCTTCCGGCCCTGCTTCCCACTCCCTCTGGCTTCTCTGCTGCCTCTCTTGTCATTCATTTGTCCCTGGAAGCATCACCGATACAAGTGGATATGAACTGGCAGCTCTGTTTTCAAAATGGAGATAACGTCTCAGAGAACAGAGAATCTTTAAGTGAAGTTGAAATCAGAGACATAGACCGGAACGTGTAATTATACTATAACTACTTCTGTCCAGGTGTAGGCATTATCTAACCCAGGCGTTATTTGAATATTGGGCAAATAAAATGCAAAATATCATGGTGCCAGAGAAACCAGGTCAGAACTTTTATGCACAGATTTTTTTTTTAAAGATGTATTTACTTATTTCATGCATATAAGCACACTGTAGCTGTCTTCAGACACACCAGAAGAGGGCATTAGATTCCATTACAGATGGTTGTGAGCCACTAAATGTAATTGCTGAAAATTGAACTCAGGACCTCTGGAAGAGTAGTTATTGCCCTTAACCGCTGAGCCATCTCCCCAGCCCTGCACAGATTTCTTAAACTATTGATTAAATGATCCCCCAAAACAACTACTGTGATGTCATCATGTTTTTAAAGGTAAAATTAAAATGTCTAAAAATGTTTTAATAGTATTAGTGGTTAGTTGAGATCAAAGACAGTTTATCCATTTCTGTTGAGAACAAGGGGAGTTGGATAACTCTGTCTTAGGAGAGGTTTAGGGTATGGAACACGGAGAGTGAACTGGTTTCTGTTAAGGTTGGCCAGCAGGCTGTGTACTTTCCTTCAGGCAGGGTTTTTAAGGTGAAAACATTTTCATCCTGAGAACTACATAGAGTAGTGGGCTTATAGCACCATCACGTTCTTTAACCACATCAAAGTAGCGTTTAGGTTTTTAGGATGAAAGAACTCTTACTTCTGGTGGGCAGGACCAAACTCCCTCCTCCCCATGCAGAGATCCCACCTCCATGCCCAAGATAAGGAGTATTGTCAGGACTCTGTGTCCTGATGCCCCCTAACTGGCCCTAACAAGTGGCTGCCCGCTTTCCTCCATCACATAAGGAACCAATACTATGAATCTGGAAGGACTGTCAAGGGAGTTTGAGGTCTGGCAAGATGGCTACACTAGTAAAGACCTTTGCCACCAGGCCTGTGTGTCCCAACTAACTCCTACAAGGTGACCTCTGACCCCTGCATGCATGCTATATCGCATACTTATTCTCCCCACCCTGCCTCTTACGATCTACAATCCTCACAATGGCAAGATTGCATTGTTCCTTCTATCCCTGTTTAGATACAGGCTCCGCCTAGCTCTTATTCTCTGAAGGAAGTTGAATAGGGTCACTCATGGGCCTGTAGGTTTTGCTTGCTTGGTGGCCTTTAGAAAGATGAGCTTGTCAATACCTCTGTGTATTCAACTAGCAAGATTTCTACATAGGTCACCATCCACACCTAGAAACCTCACTAACGGTGGGGCAGATGCATGCTCCTGGTGCTGCCGTCACTGTCACTGTCACCGTGGGAAGGACAGCGTGTGCCTCTTAAAGGGCCTGAGCACAGTTTCAGACACCAAACCTATTCGGGGCTTCTCAATATATTCCCTTTGTGCTGCTACTTCTGGAATTACTCTCCAGTGAAACAAACAGCTACTGCATACTCAGGCAACTATGCTCAAGGGCTACAGTCATTAGTGTGATGATTTATCAGCCTAGAAACTGTAGGCACCCCCAGTTTTCTTTAGCTAACAGCCTGTCTGCCTTAGAAAGAACTGTAAAAATCATTGGCCTTCGCCTGAGGGTTGCTTTCTCACCGAAGCACAAAACTCTTCTTTCTCATGACTCTTGCTCAGATTTCAGGAGCTGTGGGGCCAAGTGAGGATGTGGTCTGCTTTTATAGATGCTACAGCATGTGTTTACATTTGTTCCACTCAGTGGTGTAGCGAACGTAATGTCTCTAGCCTTTCAGGTCTAAAATCTCCATGTTTCAGGTTTTATAAGGTTAGCTTTTTATGACTTCCATAAAGTGATTTGTTGCCCTTAGGAATAGGATTACTTGCAAGAACGTTCCTTTAAGAGGATACTACTTGAGAAGTATGAAGTGACAGCAGTTGCTGTTGTTGAGTTAGCTCTGGTGGCAGACCTAACTCTGGTGGACGGTAGGGAGTTTAGCTAGATCCTCTCTAGACATAACAGGAGTAAGTTCTATCTTGAAAACAGCATGTGGCTTTATGTGTGAGCTATCAGTGGTATTGACAGCTTTTAGGAACCCCCCCCCTTTTTTTTTTCTGGTTTTTCAAGACAGGGTTTCTCTGTAAGGCTCTGACTGTCCTAGAACTCACTCTGTAGACCAGGCTGGCCTCGAACTCAGAACTCCACCTGCCTCTGCCTCCCAAGTGCTGGGATTAAAGGCATGCGCCACCACCGCCCGGCTAGGAAACCCCCTCTTACCACCTGTATTTTTCTATCCTGAAAATGTGTGTGTGCTCTCACAATTCATGATTAGTGTTTAATACAGCATAGTGTGTGTCCTGATTTCACCAGCAGCAGGGACTACTACGTTTGGAGTAGGACATAGAACATAAGGTGAAAGTTGGGTCAACTTTTGATCATAAACTTTTAATCTAGGTGTAGCTCTCCGTGTGGTCTCAAGTAACACGTATATGTACATTATTGCTAGACACCTCAACATTCTACAAATAATACAGTAATTAACTCGAACCAGAATACAATAAACTGAAATTACAAAGACGATAAGAATTCACACTTACACGTAATCAGCTAGCACACATTTCCCCGTGGTGCTTCCTGCTTTCAAACTGCGCCGGGCCCATTTTATTGTCTTTATTTCCCATTAAGCTGTAAGATGGGGGTGAATACGGTGATGTTGTGATGTCATTTGCCCCCTCCCTGGCGCTGACTTTGAATGCTGGAGTTCAGTAATGAATTATCTATGAAGTGTTTTTACAATGCACTGCCTATCTGGGCTAAGTTTACATGTTCCGCTCAGCCTTTCATAAGGCTGGGATAATACCAAGCGAATTGTTGTGTTTATAAAAAGATAAAGAGAGGAGGAATATGTTTTGGTGGATGTGTGGTAAGGTATAGGGGAAAGGGGGTGTCTCCTCGGGCCTATGCTGAGGCAGCCCTTCCCCCTGAGAAACCAGCCACATGATGGTATAGTGTAGAATAGAGTTATTCAGGGCATGGGGCCAGAGTGGGGGAAGGGGAGTTGAGAGAGTAGTAGAAACGGGCGGGGGGGGGGGGAATAGAGAAGTAGAGGCCAGCCATGAGAATGTGGAGAGAGGGGGAGAAGGGGAATGGGGAGAGGGAGGAAGGCGCGAGAGGACAGAGGGGAAGCAAGAATTCAAGAGCAAGAGAGAGCTGAGGGGGAAAGCAGACCCTTTTATAGTGAGTCAGGCATACCTGGCTGTTGCCAGGTAACTGTGGGGCGGAGCTTAGACAAAATGCAAACAATAATGATTCATTCTAAAGAGGGCTGAGTTAGGTAGGGCCACTCTTTATGAAAAATTGTATAAGGACCTTACACTGTTTGGAGAATGGTCCACCCAGACTTTGTGGAAACTTTACCACTCTTACTTTGAGTAGGTAGCGTTCTGTGCTTCTAAGGTAGTGGGAGTTTGAAAATCTGACCCTTGATCTCTACCTACTCCCAGCCTCAGAGTCAGTCCTGTGTTCTAACATGGTAGCTGTGGACGTGTGTGTGTGTGTGTGTGTGTGTGTGTGTGTGTGTGTGTGTGTGTGTG